AGTACTAGCACAGCAAATGTAGCAATACATTTAAAAAGTCATCCACAATCAAGTGGGATTTTTTTCCTGGGTTGCAAGGGTGGTTCGATATTCACAAATCAATCAACGTGATATATCCTATCAGTAAGAACCATATGATCATTTCAATAGAAGCAGAAAAAGCATTTGACAAAGTGCAACATTGATCCATGGTAAAAACCCTCAAGAAAGTAAATTTAGAGGGAACATAACATAATAAAGATCGTATGTGAAAAATCCACAGCTAACATCATTCTCAGTGGGAAGAAATCGATCCTTTCCCCAAGGCTAGGATCAAGACAAGGATGTCCCCACTCAGTACTTTTATTCAACGTAGGACTAAAGTCCTAGCCAGAGCAGTCAGACAACAAAAAGCAATAAAAGGTATCCAAATTGGTAAGGAAGAGATAAAATTTTCACTATTTGCAGATGACATTATACTATTTGTAGAGAACCTGAAAAACTACCAAAAAACTGCAAGAACTGATAAATTCAGTAAAGTTGCAGGATACAGAATCAATCTACAGAAAACTTGTATTTCTATGCACCAATAATGAAGCAACAGAAAAAGAAATTAAGAAAACAATCCCATTTACAATTGCCCCAAAAAGAATAAGATACCTGGGAATAAACCTAACCAAAGAAATGAAAGACCTGTACTCTGAAAACTGGTAAAACACTGATGAAAGAAATCGAAGGTGACACAAAGAAATGGAAAGACAGTCCATTCTCATTGTTTGGAAGAACAAATAGTATTAAAATGCCTATACTACCCAAAGCAGTCTACACATTTAATGCAATCCCTATCACAATACCAACAGCATTTTTCACAGAACTAGAACAAACCTAAAATTTGTATAGAATCACAAAAGACCCTGAATAACCAAAGCAGTCTTTAAAAAAGCAAAGCTAGGGATCCCTGGGTGGCGCAGCGGTTTGGCGCCTGCCTTTGGCCCAGGGCACGATCCTGGGGACCCAGGATCGAATCCCACATCGGGCTCCCGGTGCATGGAGCCTGCTTCTACCTCTGCCTGTGTCTCTGCGCCCCTCTCTCTCTCTCTCTCTCTCTCTCTCTCTCTGTGACTATCATAAATAAATAAAAATTAACAAAAAAAATGTTTAAAAATAAATAAAAAATAAATAAAGCAAAGCTAGAGGTACCACAGTTCTGCACTGTGATATCAAGTTATTTCAAAGCTGTAGTCATCAAAACAGTATTGTACTGGCACAAAAACAGACTCATAAATCAGTGGAACACAATAGAGAGCCCAGGGACACTGGGTGGCTCAGCAGTTGAGGATCTGCCTTCAGCTCAGGGTGTGATCCCAGGGTCCTGGGATCGAGTCACATATTGGGCCCCCTGCAGGAAGCTAGCTTCTCTCTCTGCCTATGTCTCTGCCTCTCTCTGTGTGTCTTTCATGAATAAATAAATAAAATCTTTAAAAAAAAAAAGAAAAAGAATAGAGAGCCCAGAAATAAACCCATGCTTATATGGTCAATTAATCTTGACAAAGCAAGAAAGAATATCCAATGGGGAAAAGACAGTCTCTTGAATAAAATCTTGCTGGGAGAACTAGATAACAACATACAAAAGAATGAAGCTGGACCATTTTCTTACACCATACACAAAAATAAAATAGATTAAAGACCTAAATGGAAAAAAAAAAAGACCTAAATGTAAGACCTGAAATCATAAAAATACTTGAGGAAAGCACACGCAGCAATTTCTCTGACATTGGCCATAGCTACTTTTTTCTAAATAGGTCTCTTTTGGGGCACCTGGGTGGCTCAGTTGGTTAAGTGTCTCTTGATTTTGGCTGGGGTCATGATCTCAGGGTCGTGAAATCAAGCTTCATGTTGGGCTCCACACTGGGCTTGGAGCCTGCTTAAGATTCTCTCTCTTCCTCTGCCAAACAACACCCCAAAACCTAATAATCTAGTTTTTAAAATGGCAGAAGACATGGGCAGACATTTCTGTAAAGATGCTCATCATTGCTTATCAGGGAAATACAAATCAGATCATAATGAGATACCACCTCACGCCTGTCAGAATGGCTAAAATAAAAAAACACAAGAAACACCTAGTATTGGCAAGGATGTGAAGAAAAATGAACCCTGTACACTATTGGTAGGAATGCAAAACTGGTGCATCCATTATGGAAAAAAGAGAGTTTCCTCAAAACGTTGAAAGTAGAACTGCTCTGTGATCCAGTAATTGCACACTGGGTATTTGCCCAAAGAATACAAAAACACTAATTCTTTTTTTTTTTTAAGATTTTATTTATTCATTCATAAGAGACACACAGAGAGAGAGATTGAGAGGCAGAGACACAGGCAGAGGGAGAAACAGGCTTCCTGTAGGGAGCCTAACATGGTACTCAATCCTAGGTCTCCAGGATCAGGCCCCAGGCTGAAGGTGGCACTAAACCGCTGAGCCATCTGGGCTGCCCCAAAAACACTAATTCAAAGGGATATGTACACCCCTATGTTTATAGCCAGATTATTTACGATAGCCAAGGTAGTGAAGCAACCCAAGTGCCCATCGATTGATGAGTGGATAAAGAAGAGGAGGATGGATAGATAGATAGATAGATAGATAGATAGATAGATAGATAGGTAAAATGGAATATTAACCATTAAGAAATGAAATCTTACATTTATAATAACATAATGGAGTTAATTGGTATAATACTAAGTGAAATAAGAGAAAGATACCATATGATTTCACTCATGTGGAATTTAAGAAACAAATGAGCAAAGGGGAAAAAAGAGAGACAACCAAGAAACAGACTTCAACTATAGAGAACAAACTGATGGTTACCAGAGGGCTGGTGAGTTGGGGGTGGGGGGATGAGTGAAATAGGTGATTAAGGAGTGCATTAATGATGAGCACTGGGTGATTAAAATGTAAAAATAAATTTAAAAAATTAAAACACACACAAAATAACAAATGTTGGTAAGGAAGTGGGAAAGTTGGAACCTTTCACATTACCAGTGTGACTGTGGAATGGTTCAACCACTGTGGAATAACTTGGAGGTTTCTGAAGAACTCAAACATAGAATTGTCTTGTGACCTAGCAACTCTGCTCCTAGGTATATACTCAGAAGAACTAAAAAAGGTACTGAAACAGATACTTGTACACAAATGTTCACAGAAGCAGTGTTCACAATAGCCAAAAGATGCAAACAACCCATGTATCCAGTTGGTAGATGAACACATAAAAGTTTGTGTGTGTGTGTGTGTGTGTGTGTGTGTGCGCGCATGCACAAAATTTTTCTGTGCTATTTACTTACCAGAGTTTTGAAAGGAAATAATAAAAAGACAAAGGTGCAGGTAAGAGTCAAAAAAAAGAAAGTTCCCTCTTTTTATTGAGTGAGCCTCAGCAAAAATACCACACATTTTCCTTTTTTTTTTTTTTTGCTTTAGTTTCATGCTACAAATGTAGCACTAACAAGTTATTCATCAACATTTGTACATGTATATAGATAAATATCCTTCAACTTTCATTGTAATTGCTAATTCATTCAGAAGATATTTATTATTTACTATGTTGCCAGGTACTGTTCTAGATTCTAGAGACCAAGTGGTGAGCAACACAGACTTGCCATGTGACCCTGTCCTCAGTGTACATTCTAGTTGAGGAGAGACAGTAAACAAACATGCTGTATAGTCAGCTGGAATTAAATGCTGTGCAGAAAAACAAAGCAGTGGAAGGGGATGAAGTGTGGTAGAAGTGCTGCTTTAAGTAGGTGGTCAGAAAGGCATCTATCAGGGTGAAACATTTGAGGAAGGATCAGAATGAGAACAGGAGCAAGCCATGCAGCTACTTGCATGACTAGCTCACTTGCTTTCCCTCTCTATGGTGATGTCATTGACTCATATTTGTAAATGTTATTAAAAACATTCCTTCCCATGTTGCCTTCACTCTTAAAACAATTCTAGAGAACTTCCTTTCTAGTGGTGGTATTATTGTATAGTCCTATACATGTGCAACTGACTTGTTTTTATCCCACAGATGTGGGAAATATAGCTGATGGCTTTCCTTTCCACACTGGGTGCCAGAAAACTTAAATTTGCAGCCCATCCATAGTGCTATAGTAATCATGAAGGTCATTATGGTATGCATTATTAGTTTTTTGAGCTCCATTCCACTTAAGGCTTGCCTTTCTTTAACTCTGCCATAAATTTATGCTATCTTGTTGTATTTTGTGCATATTAATCAAAATCTTTTTTGATGCCTGGGTGTCTCAGTGGTTGAATATCTGCCTTCGGCTCAGGGAGTAATCCTGGGGTCCTGGGATCAAGTCCCATATCGGGCTCCCTGCATGGAGCCTGCTTCTTCCTGTGCCTGCATCTGTGCCTCTGTCTCTGTGTCTCTCATGAAAATAAATAAAATCTTTAAAAAAAATCTATTTTTTTGGAATAAGGTACACTGGTGAATTATAAACATATATGTTCATTAAAACACACACACACACCATATAGTATTTATACGATAGGTCACTGATTCTGAACTTGGGGCAGTTTTGTTCTTTGGAGAATATTTGGCAATATCTGATTATCACAGTTGGGAAGTGCTGTTGGCACCCTACAAAGAGTTATCTAGTCCAAAATGTCAAAATTGCTGAGGTTGGGAAACCTTAAAATAGACTGGACCATTCAATCCATAATTTCATACGTTTCTAGACTGTTTTGTAACATAAATGACAAATGTATTCCCTTGTAACTTACTCTAGCATACCAGTGTATATTCTGAGTGTGATCGTTGGGTCACCCTTCCACTAAATCTGTCATCAGTCAAATAGTCCTGAAAGCAATAGTTTCCTCTTCAGAATCTGTTTCATCGTACCCACAAAATCACAACTTCAGATTAACAAAATTGGGGAGAATGGTGCTTTTCATTTGAGCTCCAGTATTTTTGAATGTTTTAAGTCAGCAACATAGTTAAAATGACTCTGTTCACCCTCCATTCTGTTTACAGGCTTTCATAGAGACCATGTTTGCCAGTAAAGCTCCTGTGGAAGAGGGCTTTCTTTACGCTAAGGTGAGCTTTAAAACATTGGAAAGGTTTTGTTGGAAGCAAAAATAGTAAAGTAATTTCATTGATTTGTAGATGGCACCCAGTTGGCTTTCATGTAAGTGACCTCAGTGGAAAGGATTTGGTTCTTCAGTGTTGCTGATAATTTATTAGATGTGTCTGAAATATGCAGAGCTACAATTAAAATTAATATCACATAGCTGTTGTAAAAAATGCAAGCATATTCCAGTGTTTAAGTAAGAATAAAAAACACGAACTTAACTATATCTCTGTACTCGGCCTTGATCGTAGGTTTTCAATATTCTCTTCTGGACTTAATTTGAAAATTGTAGGAAATTTAGAGCACTCAGAGGAACAGAACAGACTTAATAATAAGGTCAAATAACAGGATTGGCAGGGAATAAAAAATAACCTGGAATTGCAGCACAGTAAGTTTGGTTAGATTTGATAACTTGTTTTCCAGTAATGATGGGAAAGAAGTACTTAAATGGAGAGAGCCTGTGCTGGCACAGCCCTGAGGAAATCCTATCTTCAGTCATGCTTGGCTCTTGTTTTTCAGTTTGAATTTGAATGCCGGGCCCGTGGTGCAGACATCTTGGCCTACCCGCCTGTAGTCGCTGGAGGTAATCGGTCAAACACTTTGCACTATGTGAAGAATAATCAGCTCATCAAGGTATACGAGATGCCCTTCAGTGCCACTTCCTATGATGCCACTTCTAAAGCACTTTATTATAAAATGATTTTACATACATTATCTCATTCGATCCTCCCATTGGCACTGTGAGATAGGAGCAATTATTAACATGCCTGTTCAACAGATGAGGAAAATAAACTTTAAAAATTATGCAACTCATTAGGGCAGAGCTGAGAATTCTACCCTAAAGCCTCTGCTCATTTTTTTTTCTGCTCATTTTTTTTTTTTTAAGATTTTATCCATTTATTCGTGAGAGACACAGAGAGAGGCAGAAACATAGGCAGAGGGAGAAGAAGCAGGCTCCCTGCAGGACCCTGACATGAGACTCGATCCCGGAATTCCGGGATCACATCCTGAGCCAAAGGCAGACTGCAACCGCTGAATCCCTCTGCTCATATATTTTAATAACACTCCTTCTCAGAGGACTTGGGCAACAGCAGGCCATGCATATGAGCAGACAGATTTTGGTAGTACCTTATTGTTTTCTCTCCAAGTATCTATACAAGTAAAGAATTATATATGCCTTTATTAAGCCCACTTTTTTAAAGATGGGGAGAGGGTTTGTTTGTTTTTTGGAGCCCAACACAGGGCTTAAACTCGTGAGCCCAACACAGGGCTTAAACTCGTGACCATGAGATCAAGACCTGGGCTGAGATCAAGAGTCAGACGCTTAACTGACTGAGCCACTCAGGCACCCCAAAGTTCACTTTTAATTATCTGTTTTCATTTTCAGTAATTTCAGAAGTATAAATATTAACAAACATATAAATTATACAACATATTTTTTAAATGAACATGAACTGATCCCTTATTGAAGAGCTAGAACATTACCAGTTTCATGCATCTACTTCTATGTCTTTATGCTCTGCTATCCTATTGCCTCCCTCCCAGAGATAACTAATTGGTTATCCTAAATTTTTCTTTGTCGTTGCCTTGATTTTTTTAAGTAGTTGTATGACATATACATGATTCCCAAAACAATATTAATTAGTTCTGCTTGTTTGTAAACTATGTAAAAATTAAGTACTGCTATATGTAGTTTTTTGGGACTTTTTAAATTTGTAAATGTGATAAAACAATAGATTTTTTCCCCAAGTATTTGTATTTGTTTATATTCCTACTGTTGATATGTAATTTTGTTGACTACACCCTCTCTATCCCTTGATGTTATCAGACTTCTTCATTTCTGCCATTCTAATTGGTATAAAACAGTATCTCATTGTGGTCTTAATTTCCATTACCTTAATTACTAGTGAAACTAAGCATCTTTTTTATCTTTAGTATTATTAGTTTCAACTTGCTGATGTGTTGTTTAGCATATTCTGATCTGTGTTCATGAGTGAGATTGGTTTATTTTTCTCATACTTTTCTGATTTTCATATCAAGACCAGGAAAAATTAAGAGTCCTGGGATCAAGCCCCATATCCAGCTCCCTACTTGGCAGGGAGTCTGCTTCTCCCTCTGCTCTTACCTCTCTCCCTACTTGTGGTCTCTCTCTTGCTCACTCTTTCTCTCAAATAAATAAGTAAAATCTTTAAAAAAAAAAAAAGTAAGCATACATTTACCCTGTGCACCAGTAATTCCATTTATAACCATTTTTCAGGAAAAATTAAAACATAGATCCACAAAATGCCTTGTACAATAATGTCCATAGCAGGTTCACTCCTAATAGGCCAGGCATCCATCACCAGGATATTAGATAAGGAAATTGCCATGTGGTGTATTCTTCAAATAAAAAGGAACAAACCACTGCACTACCAACCAGTGATCTCAAAACCATTATGCTGAGTGAATAAACCAGACACAAAAAATTATAAATTATGTGATACCATCTACATGAAGTTCTAAAATGGGCAAAACTAATCTATGTTTATAGAAATCAGATTAGTGGTTGCTTCTCATAGGAATATTGGCTGGGAAGGGGCCTGATGGCATGGTTACATGGGTGTATACATATGACAATACTAACTTAACTCTATGTTCTTAAGTTCTATGTTTCACTGTGCATACATTAAATCTCAAAAACTTTGGCTAAAAAAAGAAATCTTGCCAGAGGTTTGCTGAGTTTTATTTTTCTTGTAAAACCAACTTTTCACATCATTAATGGTATTTTGTTTATTATTCCATTACACTGGGCCCTTGTCTTTATTAATTTCACCTTTCTACTTTTTGTTTATTCTCTTGTTCTTTTTCTGGCTTCTTAAATTAGATGCTAAACTCATTAATTTTCAACCTTCTTTTTTTATTATAAATGTCTGAGGATAAATTTCTCACTTTCATTATATTCCACAAGGTTTTCCTAGTTTTTAAGTGTATCATATATTAAAAACAATCAATACAATGTACTGTTTAAAAATAAAATTTGAATGAACAACCATATATCTATCATCTAGGACGAGAGGAACATTACTATCCCCCTGAGCAATCTCAAGCACATCCCCCTCTCTGTCTCTTACCATCTTGACTTTGGTTTCAATCATTTTTGTTGTTGTTTTTCTTCATAATTTTATCCCCAGTGTGTCTATTCCTAAACAACATAGTGTCCATTCTTGAAAAACTGAAGAATAAGCATAAGTGTAGCTGTACAGGGAAAGAAAAGTGAAAAGTATTGCCATTATTAGATAAATTGGCCCGAGAGAAAATCAGTTGAGAACTTCTAGGTCATAGTCTTGCTTTGGTTATCTGAAACTTTACAAGGGCCTTTTCTGGGTGAAGTCTGTGGGCAAGGTCCTCAGCAAGCTGTGAGAAATGCAGGCAGGGTACTGTTAGGGCATCTGGGCGTGCTCTAGTGTGAGCCCGGTGGGCATGTGGCTGAATTGTACAGTCAGAACAGGCTGCCGTGGTTCCGCCTCCAGCTTACCACAACTGTGTCAGCCTCTCAGAAACAGGCCAAAGCAGAACCACTTTGACAGAGTTTGTTTAGATTTACGTGCATGTTCACCTTTCCTTCTTACATCTTAGATGGCCCTCCTGGGATCACCTTCCTTCAACCTGAAGAAAATCCTTTAGGTGCAGGTCTGTGGCTGATAAAATTTTCTATTTTTGTTTAGCCAAAATATCTTTATCATCATTCTCAATTCTTGATAATGGTTATGCCAAGGAAACTATCCTAGATTCATTTTAGTCATCAACATTAATGTATCATTCCCCTTTCTTCTGACTTTCAGTGTTGCAGATTAAAAACAAACAAGGAGCACCTGGGTGGCTCAGTCAGTTAAGCGTCTGCCTTCAACTCAGGTCATGATCCCCGGGGTTTTGGGATCCAGGCCAGTGTCAAGTTCCCTGCTCAGTGGGGAACCTACTTCTCCCTCTGCCTCTCCCCGACTTGAGCTTGTGCTCATGCGCTTGCTCTCTTCCCCCTTCCCAAATAAATAAAATCTTTAAAACAAATGAAAACAAACAAAAACAGTAATTACCATTCCTTATGGGAAATCTCTTTTTGTTTTGACTACTTTAAGATTTCTTTTCCTTTTGGGGGGGTGCACCTGGGTAGCTTAGTCAGTTGGGCATCCAACTCTTGATTTTGACTCAAGTCCTGATCTCAGGGCCCTAAGATGGAGCCTCACCTTGGACTCAGTGCTCAGTGAGGAGTCTCCTTAAGACTCTGTCTCTCTCCGCCTCCCCCCACCCTGCACTTCCCCCCCACCACCACTTGCTCAGCCTTGCACTCTCTAAAAAATGAATAATCTTTTTAAAATGATTTCTTTTCCTTTGGTATTTTTTCGTTTTATTATGTGTCTAAGAATAGATTTATTTTTACATGGTCATTATGATACCTTCCCCTTCCTGAATCTGTATTCATGTCTTCATTGGTTCTAGGAAATTCTCAGACATTGGTGTAGATATCGGCTCTCCTACATGCTCTCTATTTGCTCCTTCAACAATTTCAGGTAGATGTGTGTTAGACCTTTCTGTTTCCAGTAAGCTAGCTTTCATGTTTACATTTGTCTTGTCTCTCTGTTATATTCTAGGGGATTGGGTAGGTCTGTCTTCAGGAAGCCAGTTTCCCTTCAGTTGTCTAATCTGCTTCTTCAGCCATCTACTGAGTGATTGAGTTCAGAAGTTGTTTTTTTTTCTTTCTTTCTGGTTTCTTTCAAATTGGCATAGTTCTTTTCAATTGTCTACTGTTGCTTATTCAGCTTTGTAGTCCTGTTCTTTATCCTTTTAAACATTTCATAATAGCTATCCTGTATCTAATCATTCCATTATCTGAAGTCCTGGAAAATCTAAATTTGATATATGTTGTTCTTGCTGACTCTCACATACAGTGACCTACCTTGTGTGCTTGACGACCTTTGGTTGTAAGCTCATATTTTATTTGCTTGATGTTATTTTTTTTTGGAAATCATGCCAGCCCATATTTGGGGGAAATTTCCTCTAGAAGTTGTTTGAATATACTTTTGCCAGAAGTAAGTGGTCTTAATAACCTGAGACTCTTGTATCCCCTATGAGAATCTTGAATTAACGTGAGAATCTCTGACTCATTATCCCCCCATTTTTGCTGTAGGACCTCAGGGCAACCTCTCCTTTTCTATATATGCTGTACCATTACCTTATCACTACCGTCAGCTCTACTTTCAGTTATGGGGTGCCTTTTTCAAGAGAGAAAAAGTCTTTAAGAGATCTCTTACATTATGTAATGTCAACTTTTTGTAAAATATATTTTTATCCAGGGTCTGTTTTCTAACAAGAAATGTATTCTGTCATTTTGCCAGAAACAAAAACCACATCCATTCTTCAGAGTTGCCGTTATTAAATATATATATATATATAACCATTGAATTATTATTCTACTATGTGCCAAGTTGTGTGTTTATTTATATATAAATAAGATGTGCCCCTGTCTTCAAGGACATAAATAAATAATTTCAATATAACATGACAAGTAAAGAACAAAAGAGAGATAAACCCAAAGTTTTCTTCTTTCCCCATATGTATTTTGATGGGGAGCAAAAAGAGAAGTGATATTCTAAAGTTAAATGGTTAAGAGTAATTGTATTTGAATAAGGCCCTGAATACCAACTTATATAGGATTTTTTAACATAATAGTGATAGTGGTACCATTTATGATGTGCTGTTTACATGTAGTAATTCAAACCTAAGCAGTGTGGTTCCTATGCCCATGTACTACTTGCAGTGACCACTTTCTTGAGTCAGTGTGAATTCATTTGAAAAATTGAGATGCTATTTTTTGTAAGAAGGAACCAAAGAAGATTCGTCTCTTTTAAATTAGTTTTTCAAATATATATATAAAATAAAAGACACAAAGAGTTTAAATTAGAAAAAACAAGTGACAACCATAAGGTCACCTACTTTGACATATCATACTTTTGTTGCAGGATGGAGAAATGGTGCTGCTGGATGGAGGTTGTGAGTCTTCTTGCTATGTGAGTGACATAACCCGTACCTGGCCTGTCAATGGCAGGTAGGATTTCTACATATCCCACTGCTTCTTAGGAGTATGAATTGGAATATGGGTGTATTAGCTATAAATGACTAAACAAATATACAGGTCCCCTCTAACTCAGGTTCACTGCCTTTGCAAAGCTCCTGATTACTCTCTAAGACTGTTTTTTATTTATTTATTTATTTATTTATTTATTTATTTATTTATTTAGATTTATTTATTTATTCATGATAGAGAGAGAGAGGCAGAGACACAGGCAGAGGGAGAAGCAGGCTCCATGCACTGGGAGCCCGACGTGGGACTCGATCCCGGGACTCGAGGATCGTGCCCTGGGCCAAAGGCAGGCGCTAAACTGCTGAGCCACCCAGGGATTCCCCTCTAAGACTGTTTTATTCATCATATCATAGGATCAGGCATTTAGATACACCTCGTTAACACACAATCACATTTGAAAAAAATAAATTTGAGGGGTACCTGGCTGGCTCAGTCAGTGGAGGACATGACTTGAGCTTCAGTTGTACTTGGTATTCAAGCCCCACATTAGGTGTAGAGATTACTTAAAAATAAAAGCTTTCAAAAAGACAAATAAATAAAGTTGGAGTATTTATTATTTTCTGATTACAAAAGTAATTCCAATATTCAGTTTAAAAAATTACTAGAAAAAAAAAAATAAAAAAAATAAATAAATAAAAAATTACTAGACATGAAAAAAATCAGAAAAGTATCCATAATCAAGAAAAATACAGTCAATAAAAGCAGATCCTAAATAATCCTGATATTTCAATTAGGAGACAAGGACTTTATGTTTTCTTTTTAAGATTTTATTTATTTGAGAGAGAGAGAGAGCATTAGCCGGGGGGTCAAGAGGGAACCCAGGACCCTGGGATCATGACCTGAGCCAAAGGCAGACTGAGCCACCCGGTGCCCCCAGACAAGGACTTTAAAGCAGCTATTACATATATGTTCACAGAGTTAAAGGAACATATATAAGTACAGTGAGTGAACAGATGGAGAGTCCCAGTAAGAAATAAGAAACTAAGAAATAAGAACCAGAGGAGTGTGTGGGTGGCTCAGTTCCTTGGGCATCTGACTTCAGCTCAGGTCATGATCCTGGAGTCCTGGGATAGTGCCCCACATCAGGCTTGGTGGAGAGCCTGCTTCTCCCTCTGTCCCCTACCCCACTCATGCTCTCTTCTCTCTCATACTCTATCTCTCAAATAAATAAATCTTTAAAAAAAAAAAAAAAGAAAGAAAGAAAGAACCAGAGATTCTGGGGAGATGGTAGCAAAAGCATAGTTGTTCAGTCTCTCCAAATTGTCAAATAATAATAGAGCTACTAGGTAACAAAACAAAACACTGGGTGTTAGGATATCAGTTAAATCCTAAATACAAACAGTTATGAACACACTCTGCACAAGCCTAGATGGTATCAGTGTCTGTGTAGAAGGAAGAAGAACAAAACAGTAGTAGAGGAAGCTACCTGACATACCTGAGAATAAAGGTATTTATAAATAACCAGCAACTATTCGCTGGAAAGGATGGTGAGCCAATTTGAGAACAGAAACTGAAAATGGGAAAATTTTGCCACTCCAGAGTCCTGAGGAACTGTGAGGGTGCTGTGCTCTCTTCTCACACTAAGAAACTGCTGGAAGTAGAATCGAAATTAAAGAGGTTGGGGACAAGAAAGAGGAAGGAATGAAATGCCCAAATCAAAGAGGGGGAGAGGACATGATAAAATGAGCACTGGGTGTTATACTATATGTTGGCAAATTGAATTTAAATAAAATATTAAAAAATAAAAATCAAAGAGGGGGAGAGTAATTGAAAGCAAGCTGCCATATTGTTTACCCCTACACCAGAACAACAGAAGTGTGAGCTCTGTGATGTTAAAATCTTTCCTAAATCCTACCTCATTCTAAAAGTTAAGGAAAATTAATTTCACATAAAATAAGCAATAAAAACGTATCTTGGTTAACCTCATACAATGTTAATTAAGGGCAGAAAAGGAATGAAGAGCATGTAACATCCCTACTGATAATGGGAAATGGGAACATACCGGAAAGACGTGGCTATAAAAGAAACCAAAGCAGTGGCCTACTATTTTAAAACAAGCCAGAGTTTTTTAAGCACATCATTCAAGACATGAAAGAACAACACAAATCAAAATTGGAAAAATCTCAGAAACAAAGTAACAACACTCAGGAAAGAATTGGAAATAAATTAAAAAAGCACACCAGAAAAAAGACCAGATTGAAAGATACACACTAGCAATAAAGTACAGTAAAGTAAAGCCTTAACAATAAATAGAAAGGATAAAAGGGAAGAAAACTTTAAAAATCAAAATGAAATACAGAGAAAAAATCACAGGGAATATGGCAAGTATTTAAAATAGGCAAAGAAGTTAGAACATACACGTAAAGGAAGCTCTGAAGAAGAAAATGAAAGCAAGGGAAGAGAACCAATCCTAAAAACTACAATTCGATAAAATTTTCCTGAAATGAAAAAAATTTTTGAAACTACTTTTGAAAGAGCACATCATTTACCTGAGAATATCAGCCCAGAAAAAGCCAACACGAAGACCTAGTCTAGTGAAATTCTGACCCTACAAGAAAAAGAAAAATTCCTTTGGGGTCCAGAAAAAAAGAACACATAATTTATAAAAGAAAGGAAATTAGATTATCATCAGACTTTTTTTTTAAAGATTTTATTTTATTTATTCATGAGAGACACAGAGCGAGAGAGAGAGAGGCAGAGACACAGGCAGAGGGAGAAGCAGGCTCCATGCAGGGAGCCCGACATGGGACTCGATCCCAAGTCTCCAGGATCATGCCCTGGGCTGCAGGCGGCGCTAAACCGCTATGCCACCAGGGCTGCCCTATCATCAGACTTTTCAAAAGCAATGTTTTATACAATTATAAAATAGAGTAATATATTGAGATACTCAACAAAAGCTTAAGCCAAAGATTTTATATACAACAAAAGCAACTTTTAGCTGTAAATGGCACAGGTTGTTCTGAAGGAACTTAAGAATTACTCCCATGAGGAATCTGCTAGAGCTGTGTGATCCAATATGAAAACTAGTCACTAGTCCCATGGGACTACTTACATTTAAATTAATATTAATCAAATTTACATTAGTTTTTCACTTGAACTGGCCACATTTCAAGTGCTCAGCAGTCATATGTGACTAGTGGGTACCATATTGGACAACAAACACACAGGACAACACATCAGCACAGGAAGGTTTACTAGTTAGTGCTGTGCTAGAGCATGAGCTTCAGATGACCAAAGTGACTAGAGACATTGAGCTAAACACGAGAAACAGTTGACTATAGAATTAAGACTAAATGAAGCTAAGAGGAAGACATCATTGTAGTAATTGGGAATGGATGGAGCATATTAAAAAAAAAAAACAACTATTTTCAGCGCTTAGATTTGTTATATTTGTATTGGTATTCTGAGACTGGTGTGTGTGTCTGTGATAGGGGATTAATTTTTTTTTTAATTTTTATTTATTTATGATAGAGAGAGAGAGAGGCAGAGACACAGGCAGAGGGAGAAGCAGGCTCCATGCACCGGGAGCCCGATGTGGGATTCGATCCCAGGTCTCCAGGATCGCGCCCTGGGCCAAAGGCAGGCACTAAACCGCTGTGCCACCCAGGGATCCCTGTGATAGGGGATTAAAACAAAAAAGATAGAGGGGCACTTGGTTGGCTCAGTCAGAAGAGCATGCAACTCTTGATCTCAGGGTCGTGAGTTCAAGCCCATGTTGGGTGTAGAGATCATTTAAATAAATAAATTAGCAAACTGTAAAAACAAATAATAAAACAAAAGAGAGGGCAGTGCCCCGGTGGCTCAGCGGTTTGGTGCCTGCTTTCGGCCCGGGGTGTGATCCTGGAGACCTGGGATCGAGTCCCATGTCGGGCTTCCTGCATGGAGCCTGCTTCTCCCTCTGCCTGTGTCTTTGCCCCCGCCCCCCCGTGTCTGTCATGAATAAATAAATAAAATATTTTTTAAAATAAATAAATAAAAATAAAAGAGAGATCATTTTAATGCTGCCCCCTTGTGTCCTTGAGGACCACGATGCATAATATGAAAGAAAAAAGGCAAATGAAATATGGAGAGGTTATGTAAAAGCTCTATAGTCTCAAATTTTATTTATTTATTCATGAAAGGCACAGAGAGAGAGGCAGAAACATAGGCAGAGGGAGAAGCAGGCTCCATCCAGGAAGCCTGATGTGGGACTCGATCCTGGGACTCCGGGATCACTCCCTGAGCCAAAAACAGATGTTCAGCCGCTGAGCCACCCAGGCATCCCAGTAGTCTCAACTTTTAATTGAAATACCAATATGAACTCAAATGATTTTTTTTCTTTATATATTTTTCCCCTTCCCTGTTTGTCCACTGAAAAGGCTAGAAACTATGATCAACTTAGTAACAGTGAGTATCGCTAGTGCCCTGATTATGATCTTGAAACACAGTTTTTCACTAAAATAAATGAGTGGGCTGACTCCGGGTCTGGATCAGGAAATTTATAAGATGAAGCCTGGAACATCTTAGAATACCAGATAACAAGGAAATGAGCAAAAAACCAATGGGGTCGTGTCAAAAAGACTCAGGAATGAACTTGAAGAAGTCCCACAGGTCATCTTAAGATAGGAAACTTTGAGCTTCAATAATGGTAATAACTTCAGTCCATCAAATACGTTCAAATTCATGAGTTCATAATGATAATTTTTTTCATAATAATAATTTTTTAAAAATCGTTCATCTTCAGAGGATGATGGGAATCAATTCATTATATTGGAAAGTAGTAAATTAAAGAATGAAATATTCATCCTACCTTTTATTTTATTTTTTTTAAGATTTTATTTATTATTCATGAGAATACACAGAGAGAGAAGCAGAGACACAGGCAGAGGGAGAAGCAGGCTCCATGCAGGGAGCCCAACCTGGGACTCAATCCCAGGACTCTAGGATCACGCCCTGGGCCAAAAGCAGGCACCAAACATTAAAAAATGTATAGGCACTTAAGGATCCATGGCTGCTAAGATCACAAAGAGAGACTATCAGATATTATGTGCCTCCTATAATTTTGCCAAGTACTACATATAGCCAGCCTTGTCAAAGGGATTGAACCTGAGTCTGATTCATTCTTGGGATCCAGCTGCCAAATTGTAAGAAATAAAAAAGGCTGGGGATTTACCCCAAAGATACAGATGCAGTGAAACGCCGGGACACCTGCACCCCAATGTTTATAGCAGCAATGTCCACAATAGCCAAACTGTGGAAGGAGCCTCAGTGTCCATCGAAAGATGAATGGATAAAGAAGATGTGGTTTACGTATACAATGGAATATTACTCAGCCATTAGAAATGACAAATACCCACCATTTGCTTCAACGTGGATGGAACTGGAGGGTATTATGCTGAGTGAAGTAAGTCAATCGGAGAAGGACAGACATTATATGTTCTCATTCATCTATATATAAATAATAGTGAAAGGGAATATAAGGGAAGGGAGAAGAAATGTGTGGGAAATATCAGAAAGGGAGACAGAACATAAAGACTCCTCTAACTCTGGGAAACGAACTAGGGGTGGTGGAAGGGGAGGGGGGTGGGGGTGAATGGGTGACAGGCACTGAGGGGAGCACTTGACGGGATGACCACTGGGTGTTATTCTGTATGTTGGTAAATTGAACACCAATAAAAAATTTATTAAAAAAAAAAGAAATAAAAAAGGCAAAGTAATATGTTGAACTGCACCAAGGGGATGTGTATTTGTCAGCTCAGGTTACCATAACAAAATACAACAGACTGGGTGGCTTAAACAACAGAAGTTTATTTCTCACAGTTTTGAAGGCTGGAAAGTCCAAGATCAAGGTACTAGCAAGGTAGGTTTCCTCCAGAGGCCTCTTCTCTTGACCTCTAAGCAGCTGCCATCTTGCTGTGGACTCACGTGACCTCTTCCACACGAAGAGAGAGAAAGTAAGCTGTGGTGTCTCTTATAAAGACACTAATTCTAGCAGAATAGGGCTCCACTCTTACGACCTCATGTAACCTTAGTTACTTCTTTTGGAGGCCTTGTCTCCAAATACAGCCACATTAACAGGACTTCAACATATGAATTTTGAGGGGACATTTAGAACAGATCTGTTAAAATTATTTTTTAAAAAACAGTGTTTTTATATAGTCAGCTTTTTTTGAATTCCAAATATTTTTTTAGGATGGAATCTTAGAACAGAATTACTCAAATTTTATGAGTATCACTATTGTATTTTTTTTAAGTTATATGTGGATTTTTTTTTTTTTAAGATTTTATTTATTCACGACAGACAGAGAGAGAGAGGCAGAGACACAGGCAGAGGGAAAAGCAGGCTCCATGCAGGGAGCCTGACATGGGACTCAATCCTGAGTCTCCAGGATCAGGCCCTGGGCTGAAGGCAGCGCTAAACTGCTGAGCCACCCAGGCTGACCCGTGAGTATCATTATTAAGGCCTTTCATTTAGTTGGCTATACTAACTTACACTGCCATCAACAGTGTAGAAAATACATATCATATTCCATGCCAGCTTAATTTTTTCTCATTTTTCCCCATGATGGCTAAAGAAATTATTATTCTAAGGACACCTAGAAACTACAAGTTATAAAAGGAAAAAAAGAAACTACAAGTTACTAGTAGCCAAAGTATCTACTAGTTTATCTTCTGATATCTGCTTTACCTACAGGAAGTGCATCCCTTTGTTTTGTTTTGTTTTGTTTTGTTTTTATGGTAAAAAATATATATATATTAAGGATCAAGGATGAGCCTGGTCTGGCCCTCTGATTGCATCCATGGCTGGGTGGTGCATCTGCTAGCCTCACCTCATGTGTATCTGCTGATCATTTGAAAGAGAGGCTGTTGATGCCCCAGCTCTAAGAGTTATTGCTTGGGATGCCTGGATGGCTCAGCGTTTTGAGTGTCTGCCTTCGACTCAGGGCCTGATCCTGGAGTTCAGGGATCGAGTCCCACATCGGGCTCCCTCCATGGAGCCTGCTTCTTCCTCTGCCTATGTCTCTGCCTCTCTCTTTCTGTGTCTCGAATGAATGAATGAATGAATGAATGAATAAAATATTTTTTTTCTTTTAAAGAGTTATTGCTCTTCCTTTTGAGCATTGAGGGCACCATTAAGGTCTTGTCTGTACTAATACATTGGTACTGATTAAGTATCAACAATGCCCCCTTATTAGCACCTTGGAGTTTTTCTAATCAAACTTAGAAGCAAACTTCCTGCAATATGAGATTATTCCAAATGTGAGTGATTTGGCTTTTCTCTCCCCAGGTTCACAGCACCTCAGGCAGAACTCTATGAAGCTGTTCTAGAAATACAGAGAGATTGTCTGACCCTCTGCTCCCCTGGGACAAGCTTGGAGAACATTTACAGCTTGATGCTGACACTGATAGCACAGAAGCTTAAGGAGTTGGGAATCGTGAAGAACATTAAGGGAAATAATGCCTTCAAGGTACTACCCCTCTTGTGACCCTGGCTCTCAAATATACCTGATGTGCTGCTGAGTTTTTACCCTATTAGAGGCCGCCTGCATAACTCTGTTGGTGAAGTGTCTGCCTTCTGCTCAGGTCATGATCCCAGAGTCCTAGGATCGGGTCCCACATTAGGCTCCCTGCTCCAAGGAGTTGGCTTCTCCCTCTACCCACCCCCCTCCGTTTGTGATCTCTTTCTTTCTCATGCTCTCTCTCTCTCTCAAATAAAATCTATTTTTAAAAAAGAAAGTAAGAAAACTAATTAGATTTAGAAATAGTCTTTGTGATTCCTCATCTATAAGAGGGATTTGGAGTTAACACGGATTAAAACAAAAGGTGTCAGTACTTACTTCTCCCAGAAGATGGCAGCACATTCTAGTCATTGCATCCTGTGTAAGCAGCTCAATTGGTAGTAGAAAACATAAAATGAAGTCTGATGCAGACAGGGTGAAAAAGGACACAAAAAGGAGAAGAGGTTAACTCTCAATCCCTTTGTGGCGATTTTGAAAAGGTAGAAGTTCGCGGGGGAGGGTGTTTGTTGCTTCAGTGACATCGGTGAGAATAACAGTATCCCCAAGGGCCACGTTTTCAGTGAATTTCATCTGCATCTAGAATGTAATAATGTTTAGTAAAAATGTAAAACCTTAGCTTTAAATTAAGATGCCAGGTGGCCATGCCAAATAGACCATTAAGCCATCTCATCTCCAAGTTTAGGCTGCCAGAGTTTCTTTTATTGGTAGGAAAGACACTATAAATTCCTCCTGCTGAAGCCAACAAATCTAATTAACAGATAGGAATATCCAAGCCGGTAAATGCCTAATAATTACTGTGTTAATTTGATGTTCTGTGCCTACTCCACAAGTTGCTGTGAGATACTCAGGGTCTCCAGAGCCGGCTTTTCAGTGTGAAAAGAGAACTATTCTAACATAATCATCCTCCCGCCCCCAAGAAAAGAGGTTTTCATTTGCCATAGTCATTACTGGGGTTACCCAAGTCAACATGGATGTCGTGTATTAAGTAATGGAAAAGGAGATCTGGATTAGTTCAAAGGCCATCAGTAGAATTACATTCAGAAGGTAGCAGTGGATCAAGTCTCTGGAGCATTAGCCCGAGGGTAGTTTCAACGGAAGCAACAGAACTATGGGGAGGTTGACACATATCTCACTGCCTTATACATACCTTTCTTTCCCCTTACGGGGTCATTGCTGCTCTAATAACACTGTGGTGATTATCTTTTCCAGGCTGCTCGGAAATACTGCCCTCATCATGTTGGCCACTACCTCGGGATGGATGTCCATGACACTCCAGACATGCCCCGTTCCCTCCCTCTACAGCCTGGTATGGTAATCACGGTAGAGCCAGGTAAGGGTGGGTGCTAGCAGACTCTGATCCCTTGAGACACATAATAGCATCAGAGAGAAAGGTATATGTTGTTCATTTTTACCTGAATTGACATAATTAAATTAGAAGAGACAGGAAAATAGATCTCTTTAGTGTAGATGGGAACTTTGAGATTTTTTTCTTGAGCTTTCTTATTTAACATCACACAGTTTGCTTAATTTGACTTCTCCAATAAACAACAGATGGAGAATACTTTCTTTAAGTAGATATTAAGAAATAAATCTTTTTTTAAACCCTGCCTTTGCCAGGGCCAGTTTATACTAGTCAGTGCAGTGATGGGCTGCTCATGCCTCCTCCAGGTGTTTCCCTACAGAAAGCCGGTCAGGCTCAGCACGTTTGCAGTTGCATCCCCTCTGCAGACTACACTAAACTGCCCACATTACTCTCCTTAGGACCTGAGTCCTTTTTACTGAGCTTCAGAGGAAGCTGGCCATCTAATGGGTCCCCAGCTTGATGATCCTGGCCAGTGGGCAGAATTCAGCAGAGAAGTGATGGTCACAGTGTAGTGTAAGGATTGATGTTACATGAGTGATTTTAAAAACTCTTTTTTTGTCAAGAAAATGGATTTCAGCTGTAGATTTCAAGTATTTACACTTCTAGAGTATATAAATTATAGCTGGGACCTGACTTTATACTACCCAAGTCCTACATTGTGGCCTTATGTACTTATTCATTCTAATCTCGTTGGTACACGGGTGCTTCCCTAATGTTTAATTACATATTCCTTCACTGATCTTTTTCTTTTTATCACAAGGCAGCATCTGTGTGAGTATAGTGGAGGAAGTTTCCAGTTTTTGTTTTTTTTCCAGTTTCTTAAATATGGAAAGACCTGTTCTTATCTGACTTCATGATTAGAAAGGGTACCTCAGGCTCTTAGAATCTTCCAAATGTTTGTTAAAGTCTTCCTGTTTCTCTCTTACACTATATCCTGTACATCAGGTATATTTATGGCTTAATTGAGTATTTCTACAACTTGTTGTTGTTCAGGCAAAGTAGGTTTTTTCAACATATTTTTAAATGCTTTGTGTCCCTATTTTAGCAAAGTTCCCTTTTCCCAAGGGATGATTAGGCAGAGAAAGAATACATTTATATAATCTGGTTCCCAGTGTATGTTGACATACTCGTAAGTAACCTTAGTTGCCTGCTTGAACCACTAGATTATGACAGAATCATGATAGAGCCCATAGTTGATATACAAAACAACTATAGTAATAGTTCTAGCAATGACACCCAACATGTATTGATCATTATGTGCCCCATACTTCTATATATACTATCTCATTTCGTATCCACAATTCTAGGTAGATACTCTTATGATCCCAGTTTTATAAGACCAGTTGTAGCACAGAGAGGTTAACTTGCTTGTCCCAGATTATCCAGGTACTGCCTCTTAAGAACAGCATGTTCTGTTTTCTACTTTTCAGGGATCTATATCCCAGAAGATGACAGAGATGCCCCAGAGAAGTTTCGTGGTCTTGGTGTACGAATTGAAGATGATGTAGTGGTGACTCAAGATTCACCTCTCATCCTTTCTGCAGATTGCCCCAAAGAGATGAATGACATTGAACAGATATGCAACAGGGCCTCTTGACCCTCGCTGCAGCTCACGTGCATCTCAGGTTTAGAGGGGGTGTGCACATGTGCTGGCTGAGCGTCTTTGTGTGTGTTTCTACACATGTTCCGTTTAGGAATTATGGCAATTGTATGAATGTAAAAAAATGTATATGTGACCTTTCTTTGTTTTAAGTAGCTAGAAATCTGGAAAATTGAATTTTTGAATGATATGTTACTACAACTTTAGTAACATTAACTCTGTACAATTAATGACCAAGGCAGGTTTAATTTTTAAATGTACAGAACTATCATGGTTATGTATGTCCATGCATTCCAGTTAACACAAATATACAGAAAATTTTCTCCTTTTCTCCAACTCTTTCCCTTTCTATGCTTTTGCTGAGATCTACCTAATATCGTAAGCTGTTTATGATGCTTATATTTTGAGCTAACCACCACTGTCTGCCTATACTAAAAGCCACCTGTCAGTGATTGTGGGTGGCCAGTACATATCTTCCATAACTCCTGTCCATCTCTTCCAGATACTACATATCTACTGGAGCCATATGAGCCCTTGTCACTGGTGTCCTGCAATCCCACCATTCAGCTCCAATCCAGATTCTCCAAACCCTATTAAAACAGTTTTGAGTTTTCCTTGCTGTTTCATTGCCTATGGCCTGGAAAGTGTTTAGATTCTTGATGAGGGAAAAAATGAAAGAGAAAGAAAAACATATATATGTATGCTACAGAACTGCACCTCTGTCCATCCATTCTCAATCTGAAAAAAATTCCTTTCCCAGGCATCCACGGTGTCTTTATAGATTCATAGGATACTGATCCTCATAACACACTCTTGAACCTGCTGCCCTGGCCAAGGGTAGATCCTCTCCTTACCCTGTTGAAGCCAGAGGAATGACACCAGTTTTCAGAGAGCTGCTCCTGTTGCATTCTGCAGTGTCATCTAGTGCAAAATATGGAACTCACCCAGTACCCATAAACATCCTATGATCCTTTTATTTCTCTGATATTAGCACTGGGAGGGCAGTAGGAAAGAGTCCTATTTCCCTCAACACAGCATTGGCTGCATTCATACAAGAACTCAGTTTGCAGAGTGAACAGGGCTAGATTATTGCAAATGGTTTATTCAGAAGCTTCTGTCATAGAACTAATATGTTCACCTCCATTAAACCTATATATAGGCCAAAGATGTATAAAACATGTTGATAGAGCATAAATTTGAGAGATTTTAAGAAAGAAACAGGGTAGATTAACACTCTGTTGCAGTGCTAGAGGTTTCCCTATCTTATGAGGGAAACCTTCTTATGAGGGAAACCTAAGGTACAGAGCCAAAAGAAGACAAGCAGCAACTTCATCGGGAGACAAAGATAATGCTATAAATCAGAGTGATATAGATGCTGTCCTGCCAGTGCTCAGCCTTGGGCCTGTCCTCCCCACCTCCCTCCAACTTCTCGGTCCTATGCCCCTTTCTAAAAGGGTACTGAAGACAGATCCACAACTCTAGCTTTTCACCGTCTGGGCTTCTGTGGCCCCAACAACCCTTTCCTTGAATTGAGTTTCCTTAGTTCATTTACAATCCTGGAATAAGGAATTTCCTTTTCTTCCTATAAATTATTTTCAGTGGTCTTCAACTTTCTAGCTAAAAGCCTAGGTGGCTTTTATGTATAGCAGCACATCTGGACATGAAACAGACTTCTGGTTAGATTCTAATCAAGTTCTGCAGGTGCTGTGAGCCCTGCTTAGAATGGCTATGCAGAATTCTGGTGATTTTTAATCCCTGACCCAAGCACGTTGTCCTTTGAGTCAGTAGCTAAGCATTGAATCAGAGTATCAGAACCATTGAGAGATGGCATAGTGTTTGAGGGCTGTCTGACATATTCAGGATTTGTTGAGCACATGTGGTGCACAGTGCAGGAATCTCGTTCATTTTTAGCCATACTACAGACAAGCCCCGCATTTCCTCCAAGTCTAAGCATAGTAAATACTTCATATATACACCAGGCTCTCCTAATGAAAACCTGGATTTTCAGAAGTCCTTCAAATGTTACACTGGAGTTTTTCTTCCTCAGTTAAAGAGAGATGGTTGGGTCATTAATAACGCCATCTAAGTGAAGGAAGCATGTCTCGATAGCCTGTCGCTTACTTTTGTGCGTTTGCCTCAGGAATTGCTGTTTTTCCATAAATCAGGAAACAGACCGTGTTTTCTATTTGAAATGCAATAGTAGCAATTGCTGGAATAGAAACCTTTTCCTCCCCACAGCCATGATATCCACACTAGGAAGGTACTTCTGGTGGCCGAAAGTTCTCTCTGGGTCTTCTTTCAAAACACCATTATTTTTTCACCAATCTTGTGAGGTCAGAAAGGGAAAGTTCCTACCATAAACATGATGTCTTAATTTGAGATCAAGATCCATAAAATAAGAAAATCCCAGATGAAGACGTTGTTACTCATTAAGATAGAAAAATTGAGCTATGTTACATTTTTCAAAGCCAGCCCTATATGTGACTCAGAAGTGCTGCCTCTTCTCCTGTGTCTGTGTCAGAGCTCACAAGTACTGCACAGGGACTACCCCACCAAGCCAGCTATTGACCTCAGGCTCCTTTGTAACCTGTGTCTCCAATAACTGCTACCAGAAGAACAAAACTGGGATTTGAGTTTGACCCTGTCTGCCATACCTCAGCTGGTATATGAGCAATGAGAATAAAGCTCATTTATGTGTGTGTGTTAGAAACAAAGTAAGGGCCCAGGATGGTGGCAGCATAAAGGACATAAAAAAATAAAGGTTAATTTTTTTTTAATTTTAGTTTCCTGAGGTGGGATCTGTAGCCTAAAACATAAGCTGGTCAGGTTTAAGTTTTCATCCTGGGAAAATATACTTGAAACTGAGGTTTAATGTTCCTAATATAACAAGAAGGTGAATACATCGTTAAATGCTAACGTTTAATCAGAACAGAAGTCCATTGTCACAAAGCACATGGGTCCTCCTGGCTGCTCTTCATTGTACCGCTGCCTGTGTGTCCCTGAGGAACTTGGTGCGAGCATCAGTACTGCTCAGATCAGGGTTCCCAGCTGGAAGCAAGGTTTCATGAGGATATGAGAGAACTGCAGTGTTTGTTAACATTTCTTAATGCTTTGTATGACTTTTGTGCAATTATAGAAAGTTCAGTTTGGACAAAACGCTGTTACTTTTTTAAGGCTCTATCCCCTGAAAATAGGTATGTCATTCCCCAACAAGGGAAAAGCATTTATTACTGTCATTTTAAAAATAAGCAATAAAACAACATAAAAGTGTATGGGGGTGTGTTATTTTCAAATCTAGACTTTACAGCTTTAAATGTGAGAATATTTAGTTTTACAAAATATTTTTTACAGAGGTGGGTCTGGCTGGCTCAGCCAGAGAGCGTGCAACTCTTGATCTCGAGGTTGTGAATTCTAACCCCATGTGGGGGGTAGAGATTAATAAACAAATTTTTAAAAATATATTTTTTAGGGACGCCTAGGTGGCTCAGCAGTTGAGCATCTGCCTTCGGCCCAGGGCGTGGTCCTGGAGTCCCGGGATGGAGTTCTGCCTCGGGCTTCCTACAGGGAGCCCGCTTCTCCTCCCTCTGCTTATGTCTCTGCCTTTCTCTGTGTCTCTCATAAATAAATAAATAGAATCTTTTAAAAAGTGTATATATTTTATATATATTAAATTAAATTATATTATATTATATTATATTATATTATATTATATTATATTATATAGAGTATTAACTGCTGTCACAAAATCCTGTTTCAAACTTAAGATGATCCTGTCAGTCATGGCTGGGGGCGAGGGGAATGTATTCAATCTGGCCCATTAAAAGATTGGTTTAATGGTCTAATGTATAACATGGTAACTATAGTTGATAATACTCTGTTGTATAATAGAAATTTGCTAGAAGAGTAGAATTTAAATGTTCTCATAAAAGGGGGAAAATGTTTGAGTTGATAGATGTGTTATATAAGTAGATGGTGGGACACCGTTTCACAATGTGTATGTGTATCAAATCATCATGATGTACGCTTTAAATATAGTTTTTCAATTACCTTAGTCAAGAGAGCAAAAGGGAAAAGGCTGACTCCATAAAACTAACCCACAGGTCTCCAGACAGCCCTGTGCCACTCAAGATCATAAACTTTGGCCATGAGCGTTTGTTTTTTTTTTTTTTTTAATTTTATTTATTTATGATAGTCACAGAGAGAGAGAGGCAGAGACATAGGCAGAGGGAGAAGCAGGCTCCATGCACCGGGAGCCCGATGTAGGATTCGATCCTGGGTCTCCAGGATCACGCCCTGGGCCAAAGGCAGGCACCAAACCGCTGCACCGCCCAGGGATCCCCCATGAGCGTTTTATTAAGGATAAATTTTGTAGGGAAGTAGGATCAATTTGCAAAATTGTAAATTTGTTAACTTTCTCAGTTAACCATATAAACAGCCATAAGTGTGGTCATTTTTTGCCTAATAGGAATCCTCATTAAAATCTGAGGCTTTCTGGGGGCACCTGACTAGTTCAGTTGGTGTGACTCTTGATCTCAGGGTTGTAAGTTTGAGCCCCATGTTGGGTGTTGAGATCACTTAAAAATAAAATCTTTTAAAAATTGAGGGAGGGAGCACAAATGAGGGAAGGGGCAGAGGGAGAAGAAGAAGCAGACTTTTTGCCAAGCAGGGAGCCCTAAGTAGGACAACATTCCAAGACCCTGAGATCATGACCTGAGCTGAAGGCAGACATTTAAACTGAGCCAAAGAGGCTCCCCTAAAACTAAAATCTTTAACATCTGAGGCTTTCTCTAAGGTGTGCGTTCCAAAATTTTTCACATCCTGGCACACATAAAAAGATAGGGTTTTTTGTTTTTGTTTTTGTTTTTTTAAATATTTTATTTATTTATTCATGAGAGACACAGGGATAGAGAGAGAGGCAGAGACACAGGCAGAGGGAGAAGCAGGCTCCATGCACCGGGAGCCCGATGTGGGACTCGATCCCGGGACTCCAGGATCACGCCCTGGGCTAAAGGCAGGCGCTAAACCACTGAGCCACCCAGGCATCCCAAGATAGGGTTTTTTGTATGGCACAACGGAATAAACTTGAGAGGACTAAGGAATGTATACATATGACCTAGAGAAAAAAATTCATTCCATATCCTTTATATAATTAGATGAAAATAACATGTACAAAGTTTTATAGAAGGTTTTAAATTTGTATAACACTTGTAAGAAATTATTTTCAGAATGTCAATAGACTTAGCCTACTTGTGGGAACATGACTTTTTTTGTATAACAGGCTGAAACCCTATACACAATTCGTGATGCATCATTCTTCATAATCACCATCTACAAGAAATTTGTACAAATAGCTGACAAAAATTTGAAGCCATTTTTATGATCGTTTAAAAATTTATGATTGAAAAAAATTAAAAAATAAAAATTTATGATTGAACTGATGAATGGATAAACAAGATGTGATATGTCCATACAGTGAAATATTCAGCCATAAAAAAAATGAATTACCAATACCTGCTACAACACAGATGAGTCTTGAAAATGTACTAAGTGAAAGAAGCCAGACTCAAAAGACACATAATATATGACTCCCTTTATATAAAATGTCCAGAATAGGCAAATCCATGGAGATTAGAAAGTAGAATAGTAGTTGCAAGATCTGAGGATAGAGGGAAGTGGAGAGTGATGGCTAACAGGGTTTCTTTTTTAGGTGATGAAAATATTCTGGATAGAAGGTGGTGGCAGCTGCACAACTGTGAACATACTTAAAAACCTCTGAAAGGCATCTTGCGGTATTTGGTATTTGGATTAAATCTCAATAATTTATGATTGAAATTAAATTTAAAGAATCTAACTCCTTGGGCAGTTGGGTGGCTTAGTTGGTTAAGGGTCTGCCTTAAGCTCGGGTCCTGATCCCAGGGTCCTGGGATCAAGCACCACATGGCATTGGGCTGCTCGGGAGCCTTCTTCTCCCTCTCCCTCTGCCCCTCCCCCAGGTTGTGCTCATACTCTGTCAAATAAATTTAAAAATTTTTAATCTACTTTCATTGACATGTGAAATTTTTTATAATGTGGATTTCTAATCAAATTGGAATCATAAAATATTTGAAGATGATAGAGCTATAATTCACAGAATGTGAACATGCATTGAAATCACATAAAATACTTGAAGATGATAGAGCTATATATAATTCACAGAATGTGAATATGCGTTTTTAGAACACTGCTCCCAGCATTGACCACAAAGGTCAGAAGTATTCCATGTATGTGAAGCAGAAAGCCTGGCTGTCTGGAGTTACACCTGCAAGGAGCCCTGGCCATCTTCAGCTTCTGTGACGCCCATGGCTAGCAGCACCTCAGGTCCCTGAAACACCAGATGCTACATCAACACCATGGCTCCCTTGTCTTTGATGAGCAACGGCCCGCTCAGCAGCTGCTGCCCTGAGTGGATGACCAGGTGGTAGCACCCCTCCTTGGCTACATTTCGGGGAATCCAGGACTTCTGGTGATACAGTGACGGGTAAGGGAACTCTAGCTGCTCCAAGTTCCACCCATCTGGCAGCCATCCCAAGGACAGTGGGGATCAGTATCTCCCAGCACACTGATTTCAAGGCACATTGCTCAGGTTATTTAATTGTAAAATATAGAATGATACTGAGTGGAGCTTACTTGCACATAAGAATTTGTGGTACTGTGTAAATACCGGTTCAGATTTCCACCAATTTGTAAAGCCTAGTGGTTCTGGATACTTGCTGTGAAATGCTGCCTATCTTTTCCTAAAAAAAGTTGAGACTGAGAAGCCTGGATTGATATATCAAAAATGTTTTTTAAAATAGTCATCTTGAAAACGTTATTCAGTATTTCACTGCTCGGTATTTGGCTATGCTGTCTACATGTTACACAGATTAAAGTCTCTATAGGAAAAAAAAAGTCTCTAACAGGGGCACCTGGCTGGCTCAGTCAGTAGAGCATGCTACTCTTGATCTCAAAATTGTGACTTTGAGTCTCATTCTGGATGTACAGTTTACTTAAATAAAAATTAAAAATAGGGATCCCTGGGTGGTGCAGTAGTTTGGCGCCTGTCTTTGGCCCGGGGCGCGATCCTGGAGACCCGGAATCGAATCCCACGTCGGGCTCCCGGTGCATGGAGCCTGCTTCTCCCTCTGCCTGTGTCTCTGCCTCTCTCTCTCTCTCTCTGTGACTGTCATAAATAAATAAAAAAATAAAAATAAAAATAAATCTCTAATAAACTATAGCCAACCCCTGCAGTAATTATAATCTGGGCAGTGGACTATATATGTGAATGATTCTATTTTGCAATAGGGATTGCTATGCAGGAGAATTGTACTTGACATCACATAAATACAACAGGCATAGAGTCTACCTGCGAAGCCTGAAAGAGTATGCTCTTGTCAAAAATACAAGAATATGGTGGTTCCTCAAAAAATTAAACAGTTAACCTTTTGATCTAGCAATTACACTTCTGAGTATGTACTTAAAAGAACTGAAAGCAGGAATTTAAACATTTGTATATCCACGTTTAGCAGCGTTATTCACAATAGGCAAATGATGGAAATAACCCAAAAATCCATCAATGGATGAATGGATAAACAAAATGTGATATATACCTATAATGGAACGCTACTCAACTTTTTAAAAGTGTAATTGAGGGATCCCTGGGTGGCTCAGTGGTTTAGCGCCTGCCTTTGGCCCAGGGCGTGATCCTGAAGACCTGGGATCCAGTCCTGCATCGGGCTCCTGGCATGGAGCCTGCTTCTCCCTCTGCCTGTGTCTCTGCCTCTCTCTCTTTCTTTCTCTCTCTCTCTCTCTCTCTCTGTGCCTCTCGTGAATAAATAAATAAAATCTTAAAAAATAAATAAATAAAAATGTAATTGATACATGCTACAACATGGATGAACCTTAAAACATTTGTGCTAAGTGAAATAAGCCAGATTTAAAAAGGACCAATACTGGGGCACCTGGCTTGCTCAGTCTGTGGAGCATGCGACTCTTGATCTCAGGATTGTAAGTAAGTTCAGGCCCCATGTTCAGTGGAGAGACTACTTTTTAAAAAATCTTTTAAAAAAAAGGACAATATCAATTCCATTTATATGCAATACCTAGAATAGTCAAATTCACAGAGTCAGAAAATAAAATGATGGTTGCCAGGGTCTTGGGGGAGAGAGGAATGCAGAGTTATTATCTAATGGGGAGAGAGTCTGGTAAGGGAAGATGACAAAGTTCTGGAGATAGATGGTGGTGATGGTTGTACAACAATGCAAATACACTTAAAGTCACTGAACTTTATACTTAAAGATGTTTATTTTTATTTATTTATTTATTTATTTATTTATTATTTTTTTTTTTATTTATGATAGTCACAGAGAGAGAGAGGCAGAGACACAGGCAGAGGGAGAAGCAGGCTCCATGCACCGGGAGCCTGATGTGGGACTCGATCCCGGGTCTCCAGGATTGCGCCCTGGGCCAAAGGCAGGCACTAAACCACTGCGCCACCCAGGGATCCCTTAAAGATGTTTAAAATGGTAAATCGTACATTTTATCACAATATTTTTTTTTAACTAGAAAAAGAACTCTATTAGCATGTGGGCAAGGGGAAGAGGCAACCTAAAGGGAGACAGAATTTAAGCATTTAAATGCTTCATGAATTTGTGTGTCATCCTTGCACAGGGGCTGTGCCAATCTTCTCTGTATCATTCCAATTTTAGTGTACTGTGCTGCTGAAACGAGGACCAGTATTTAAGTAATTAAAATAAGAACTATTAAAATGCTAACTCAGTATCACCCAGTGACTGGAGCTTGTAATCTCTTGGTCTGAGTGACAATCAAACTAGTCTGAAGGGTCATGTGTATTCTAAGATACCTATTTTTAAAAAGTTATACCCAGGTGAGAGTTGGCAGGAAATGGTGTCAAAAGAAAGTGGTTGAAAGGGGCAGGGCTGTTTTGAGCGGAGAAGAGAAAGGTAAGGGGAACATGATGGCTAGCTCCGAACGTCCGAAAAGCCGTCAGGTAGAACATTTCATTTTATGCTGCTCCATTCCGCAGAACCGGCGCTGGTGGGCGGCACCTTCTCGGATGAGAACCGTAGACGGAAAAGGGCTGGCAGCGGCTTGGTCCGGGCCCCTGCGGACGGAGCGACCTGCCGGACCACGCGGCGGGGCCGACGGGCAGGGGGCCAGAGGGGCGTCCCCGCCGCGGGATCGGCCGCCTCCCAGGGCCCGCGGGCCGGGTCCCCCGCCCCACCCCCGCCCCGCCCCAGCCCTCCGCCCGGCTCACCCCTCCCGGGCCCTGACCCCGGGAAATCGGCTGGCCCCGCCCCCTCGGTTCTCGGGGAACGCATCCGATCCCCGAGCGCGCCCCGCCGCCCCGCCGCCCCGCCGCCGCTCCCGGGCCCGCCCCAGCCCTGCGGCCGCCCCTGCCCCCGCGCCCCCTCGGCGGCCACAGCCGCCACCGGGTCTCCCGCAGGCTCACCGCGGGGCTCACCGCGGGGCCGCCGGGCACTGCTCCCGAGGCGCCCCGGGTGACCACGACGGCAGCACGCTCGGCCTCTGCGTCCGAGGGACGGGTGTCCCCAGAACCCGGTCGGGGAAACGCAAGGTGCTCTCAAGGCTCCAGACAAACTGCAGGGCCGGGCTCGGCTGTCACCCGAGCTAACGGGGCGGGAGGCCGGACGCGAGGCATCCCAGCCCCCCGGAGCTCGGGGCCCCTGCGCTCACCCGGGGCCCGCCCGCGGAGCCCACAGCCCCGGCGCGGCTGCTGCGGGGGACCCGGGACGCCCCGGAATGCGGAGGGGCGGGGAGGAAAGACCCTGCCTCCCTCCAGGCCACCCGCCCTCCTCGCCCCGCCCTCCGCTCCTCCTTCCTGCCCCCTCTTCCTCCCCTCCCCCTCTTCCCTCCACTCTTCTCCCCTCCCTCCTCCCTCCTCGCTCCACTCCCCCTCTCTTCCTCTGCCTTCTCTATCCCCCTTCCCTTCTCTCCTCCCCTCCACCCTCCTTCCCACCCCTCCTCTCCCCCTTTCCTCCACTCTCTTCCCCTCCCCTCCCCTTCCCCTCTTTTCCTCTCTCCTCTCTCCCCCTCCTCTTCCCCTTCCCCCCCCTCTCCTCCCCCTCCCCCACCTCTCCTCTCCTTTTTAGGTCCTTCCCTTCCTCCTCCCATCTGCCCCTCACCTCCCACCAGTGCCTCCCACTGGCTGACCAGAAGCTGACACTGACCTCCAGGTGAGCCTTGCCCCCAACCCATGACCTGAAACAGGCCTGAAAGGGCAAGGAACATATCTGAAGCCCTATGGACTTTGTCATTTTACGAATACACAATAAAGTTACACAATGTATAAACCCTCTTCCAACAAAATCCGAATCTCTTTTTTAAGGAGGGGGTGCAGAGAGACCAGAGTATAAATCTGAAAATCTGATACAGAAGAAGATAAAGTTTCATAGCATTCAAACTGAAATCTAACTTGTAAAAATTGACAGCTTTTCTGCCATTTTATTGTTTTATGTCAAGTTGCTAATTGATGCAACACATCTTGTAAAGGCTAACTTGCAAAAGGTCATACTGAAAACAGAGTAAGTTTTCTTTTCTTCTTCCGGGAATATTCATAACAGCTTTATTTGTAATAGCCCAAAGCTGGAAACAATCAGAATGTCCATGGACAGACAGGTGAGTGTACTAACATGTAAGTATACAGCCATACAAAACGAAATGCAATTCAGTGGCAAAAGTGGATGACTTGTTGATGAACACTACAGGGGAGGTAAGTCTCAGGAGGATTATGCTGCCTGAAAGAAGTCAGACCAAAGGAAGAGTATATACATACTGTATGGTTCCATCTATATAAATCCCAAAAAATGCAAGTTAATCTAAAATGACCAAAGCAGCTTGAGTGGTCACCTGGAACCAAGTAGAAGGTGAAGAGCCATGAGAAGAAGAGAATCACAAAGGGCATGAAGAAATTATTGGGGGTAATGCACATGTTCATTATTTTTTCCCCTCACAACATTGTCTTCCCTGGATAAGCTTAAGCTTGGTGGCAAATTTTAAGAGTAGAAAGCCTTCCTTATGTATCAGCTATACTTAAAGTTTATCTTTTTTTTTAAGATTTTATTTATTTATTCATGACAGACACAGAGAGGAGAGAGGCAGAGACACAGGCAGAAGGTGAAGCCGACTCCATGCGGGGAACCCAATGTGGTGCTAAACCACTGAGCCACCCAGGGATCCCCAAAATTTATCTTTCTGAAGAGAGAAGGTCCAAGACTAATGTGTCCTGAAATGAGAAATTTAAGAAATTGTGGGACGCCTGGGTGGCTCAGCAGTTAAGCATCTGCCTTTGGCTCTGGGCGTGATCCTGGAGTCCTGGGATCGAGTCCCGCATCAGGCTCCCCGCAGGGAGCCTGCTTCTCCCTCTGCCTATGTCTCTGCCTCTCTCTCTCTCTCTCTCTCTCTCTCTCTGTCTCTCATGAATAAATAAATTAAATCTTTTAAAAACAAGAAATTGGAAAAACTGCTAGTTTATTCAAGTTGTTTCACCTGGTGGTTACAGCTTGTAAAGTTATTTATTGGTTTGAGAGTGATTGGTGGTGATAAAAGTTTTCCAAAATAATAAGTCACAAGCTATTTGGCCTTTAAAAGAATAGCATACTCCTAAAAATACCAGTTTTTATCTCTTAAGAATTGGTCAAATATAAAAACATGTTTTACATTATATGTTTGCCTATCTAGTTTATTTCTCATAAGTTTTTTTTTAAGATTTATTTATTTATTTTAGTGAGAGAACATGAACAGGAGGGGCAGAGGAGGAGAGGGGAGAGAATCTCAGGCAGACTCCCTGCTGAGTATAGAGCCCAACATGGGGCTCAGGCCCTTGATCCTGAGATCAGGACCGGACCTGAAACCAAAAGTCAGACACTTAACCAACTATACCACCCAGGTGTCCCTCTCATAATAGTTTTTGAAAACTATCGCCATAACAGGCTTTATCTCACAAAGGTATATGTGGTGAAGCATAGCCATCAAACATCCATAACCAAGACATCTGTCACTGATACCTATTCATATACCTTCTCTCTGTCACCCGATCTGATCACCATCCTCAAGAAAATTGTCATTTCCACAACCACCAATTCCCAAACTGTCAGGTCTGTCGAACTTCAGTGCTCTTCTTACTCCATCCATTGCTTCCTACCCCACCACACACACACACACACACACACACACACACACACACACTTTGTTAAAAATTGGTACATGCATTAAGCAACCTTAAAGACTTTAAAGTCTGTCGTTCTAATATCAAGTAGCTCTTTTAAACTTTAGTAAGCATGAGCTCACATGGAGGGCTTGTTATTTACTGCAGACTTTCATTCCTACACTCAGAATTTTTAATTTCATAGTTCTAGGTGAGGAATCAGCATTTTTATCTTTCACCCTTGGCATTATAATTATGTGTTGTGCTCTGAACCTCCTTGGGTTCATTTTGTTTGGAACTCTCTATGCATCTTGTACTTGAATGTCTATTTCCTTCCCCAGGTTATTTCTTCAAATAAGTTTTCTGCTCCCTTCTCTCTCCTTTCTCCTTCTGGGACCCCTATAATGTGAGTATTTGTTAGCCTGAAGACACCACCTAGTTCACCAAGACAACCTTTAACCTATTCTCATTTTTTTCATTCCTTTTTCTTTTTGCTCTTCCACTTGGGTGCTTTCCATCACCCTGTCTTCCGAATTGCTGATCTGTTCTTCTGCATCTTCTGATCTACTGTTAATTCCCTCTAGTGTGTTTCTCATTCCAGTTATTGTATTCTTCAATGGATTCATTCTTTTTTATATTTTCTCTCTCTTTGTTGAAGTTCTCACTAACCTCTTCTACTCTCCTCTCCAGTCTCATGAGCATCTTTATGACCTTTGCTTTGAACTCTTTATCAGGTAGATTATATCCATTTCATTGAGTTCTTTGTTTGAGGTTTTGTCTTATTCTTTGGTTTGGAGCATATTGTGCTATCCCTTCATCTTGCTTGACTTTCTGTATTTGTTTTTATGAATTAGGTGGAACACCTACTTCTCCTAAACTTAATGGAATGATCTTGTGTATGTCATCCTCTGTGTAGACTTTAAATTCCTGGTGACTTTGGCTGATTGACTGGCTAGAACTGTGGCTGGTGTGGGCTGGGGGTCCCAGGGCACTCTGTGCTGAGGCTGCCCTGGTGGGATCATCAGAGCTGAAATAGGTATGTGCCCAGGTAGTCCCAGTGCCCTTGGCATAAAGGGCACCCTTAAAGGACAGCTTCAGCTGAAGTAGGTACAAACTAGAGTGTCCCAGAATGCTCCAAGCAAGAGCACCCTAGCAGGGAGGCTGGGGTGGAGACAGGCAAGGTCCAGAGTATCCCGGGGCCCTCTGCTCCAGCAGGGCTCAGGCAAGTCATCTGGAGCTGAAGTGGCACAGGTTTGGAGTGTTCAAGGGTGCTGTGCACCTTCGTCACCTTGGCAAAATGACTGGAGCTATGGTGAGCACTGACCAGGAGTGTCCCAGTGTGCACTGCACTGGGGCCACCTTGGTTGGATGTCTAGGGCTGATGTTGGCCAGAAGCCCAGGGCTCCCTGAGGCAGTAGGCTAGCTAGAGAGCCAGGACCCTGCTCCCATTCACACTATCAAGGTGGAGGGAGATGTAAACCATAGCATTTGCCAGCCCCTCTGACCCAGAGAGGGTTCCAGCAGCTCCCCCACCAGTTGGT